GGTAATCCACTGCTTCTCAGGTTCCACGGGGTTTTCCAAACTACACAACATTTGCATTGTGGACCATTTCCAGTGCTGCACATGGAAGATGGCCTCACAAGAAACAAGTGGGTATTCAATGGCAATATGAGAAACACAACAACAATACTAAGACATTTAAACCTTTGTAATCAAGCCGATACATGTCTGTCTTACACAGTGGCTACTAGGCTCATCGTGACATACTTCATCAGAAGCAGAACAATAAGCGGATGACTCACAATTCAAAGACCTCTTTGAGGTTGAGGGTAGTGATTCATTTCAGAGGATGACAGGAAGCGTAATGGTGACATCAGGTCTCCTAGACAGACACAGGTGCAGACCAGGTCGGTGGTGACCTGTAAGACTGGCATCTAACACTCGACCCTCTGCAGGAGGGTGTGTGTATATATATATATAAAATTGCATAGTTTTAAGTGAAAAATCTAGACATTTTCTTGGGCCCTCTATAGATCCAGAGGGGGACCTGAATATCAGTGTAAATGTTGTTGATAACTATTAAACATATATTATCCTGGCCATTCAAATTGTGCAAAAAATATGTATGACGTCATTAAATAGGCCGACTTACTCTCAGCACCACCAACTCTGACCGACTTCTAGTGTCCCTGGGTAAAGGTATTCTTGTGTGACCAGAAGGACCCCAAATATAAACAAAAAGTGCAGCTTCGGCACTTTGTCAGAGAGCTGAAACCTGCTCGCACATTCTCCAGTCAAACAGCCTGACCAGGTATTCCTAAAGACTCCACTGTTTACAGTGACGGATGGAGCGGCCGCTTGAGTTAGGACCGCGTGTGACAAAGGTACCAACACTTCACTGCAATAGCTCTTTCTATTGAGGAGAAACAGGGTTTTCTTTGTACTTCATCTCTTGGTAGCTCCATGTTGAACTGCTTAAAACCCTTCAAGCATCAGCGAGGCAGCCATATGCTATCCAGACAGGTGTGGAAGAGTTGGGATCACAGAGGACCACACAGACAACAAGCTCATTAGCCTTCAGAGACTCCAAGTGGAGAGACAACTGCTTTGTGCGATTTGCGCTCATAGACTAACAGAGAGTAGGTCTGTTCGTCACATGAGCCACAGCAAAAGAAAGTGGACTGAATGAATGAGAATCAAGGTAAGAGCAAATAAAAAGGCATGCAAATATTATATCTAATATAACTCCTTATAAACCCATGTCAGTAGATACACGCATTGCATGATCACCTAAAATAAGATGAGATGTTACACCTAGCCAAGTTTAACCACATACAGTAGCGACACACAACAGATCTGCTGCACCAAAACATGGCAGGGTGGTTCCAGCTGAGTCTGAAACTAGCACCCCAGTGCCCTCTTGTATTCTGGGTCAATAACATAGGGCGAGCATCTACTTAAAATGTCTCCCAACATTATTACAAAGTTTGCCTATGGTATACAAATCTATTACCAACGTATCCACCTTTGTGGACAACCCATGAACACACTAGATTTCTACTAAAAGTTTCAGAAGACACTGATATTTTCAGTAGATATCAGGATAAATTCATGTTTTTCATCAAACGTTTAGTCGATGCACGGAACCAAAACTTTACTAGCTTTCTGTGGAATACAATGCATGGATTAACGTTCTGCTGCGTGGGCCGAGCCACACTGGATCATTGAGATCTGATGATTAACATCAACCTACACTGTGAAAGCAGCCATCTTTCTATATACTCCATTTATTGGGGGGTTGCTGAACTTGATGCCGTTTTCCAGCTACAGTTTCACCCACTTTCCTTCTGCTGTACAATACCTGCTCTGCGTCTTGCATCAATGTTTTCCTCTCTAAGAACTACAGAGGTTTATTATGTTCTTATAAAAATGTGTCTTGCCGTACACACAGAGTCATCCATTATGGGTGGAATATAAGACAAAAGGAAAACAAAAGGTACCCCCACTGCAAATAATGGCGTGATTATGAACAATAATCTAAGAGTGACAGGCCCCTGCCAACCCCCACTGGTCTGAAATAACCAAATCATCTATTCTGCATCATTTGATGCTCCCTCTCAGCTTCTGTGGCCAAGGATCCTCTCCCATGTTGTGTGTTGACAGTTCATTAGGGGTTTTTACTACGCTGCCACTGTTTAATGATTGGGTAATGAAGTGGCGGGGGTGGGGAAGACAGCAGGCAATGTTGCACACAGGAAACTAACTTATTTAAAGGATGAAACTGTGGCTCAACCAAAGATACATTCAATCCATCGAACAAAGGAGAAAAAAGTACTGAGGTTTCATGAAAGAATTGGTGATGGAAAGCACTGTAGTGCTAGTATAGGGAAAATATGGCAGAAAAATGATAACTATTAGCTAGCATTCCTTTCCAAACAAGAGTCTAATGAACTATTGAGCTAACTCTAAATTCAGCTGAGAATAAACATAATCTAATATTAAAATATGATGGTGTAGAGAAACACAAAAGTAGGCCTTTCACGATAACTAGTTTTGCTGGACGATATATTCTCACAGAAAAAAATGCAATAACGGTACGGTGTTTCAGCCAATTTTATGCCATCGATATAATGATAATATAATAGCATAATAACGCAAGTACAAACGAGGTGACAGAAGCAGCACAACCAGAAGTGACAACAAATCGTGTCTCAGTGTAGTTTTTCCTGGTCATTCCTTTAGGCACAGAAGGTCTGATAATGGCAGGTAATCTCTCTGTTTATTTTGGCATCATGTTGGCTAAAATGTTGGTGATATTCTTCAGTCAAACACAGCGGGCAAAATCAAGATCAGCAAACTTGATTGAGGTCATGTCCATATATATCGTACGATAAGTCACTGACGTAAAACCTATCGAGGTCATGTCCATATATATCGTACGATAAGTCACTGACGTAAAACCTATCGAGGTCATGTCCATATATATCGTACGATGCGTCGATAATGTAAATGTTATCTGGGTCATGTCCATATATATATATCTTATGATAAGTTGATAACGTAAATGTTATCGGGGTTATGTCCAAATATCGTATGGTCGATAACGTAAAAATGATCAAGGTCATGTCCATATATATCGTACGACAAGTCGATAACATAAATGATCGAGGTCATACTCATATGTATTGTAAAATAATTCTATAACGTAAAAATGAATATTGCGGTCATGTCCATAAATAAGGTGCGATAAGTCCATATTGTAAAAATGATCGAGGGCATGCCTATACATTGTTTGATAAGTCGATTATGTAATTACCGTGACAGGCCAACACAACTGGTACATTAAACATATCTATTTTTTTAGTTGGATGGAGTAATGTAATTATTCCGATAGATCCTTGCAGTGATGTCTCTCATTGTACAGGCATTTATATTATGAGCAGCCATCAGATGCATAGAAATCTGGTTTCCCATTGATTTTCAATTGGTTGCCATTAAGTGGATCTTCTGTGCTAACAGGATATGCAGAGGTGTGAAATTATGGACAAGATCACAACAGGTCAGCAGAATACCTACCAGCCCTCTGTTTCTACTACAGCCGATACAGCACTGTCCCAGATTAAGTGTCGAGAAAATGTGCTGCACACACAGGTTCAGTGTAACATCACTGTGATCCAACACAAATGATGATCCAACCACCTGTTCTGACATGTTTTCTACTCTCGCATGTCTGCAGGCCCCAAAACCTTCTCATGCCAACCATCAGGAAAGGTACTTGCAGACTCAACAACTGTTCCAAACTCACCATGCGAATGTCTTCCGCTTCAAAACCATTGAGGTTGGCGTAAAGCGAGTGGTGCCTTTTCCCCAACAGTGTCGCCGAAGTGATATTAGCCGTGGCTGGGACTGCCTTGTCCAGGAGCCCGTGTTGCTTATCGTCCCGCTCCTCCGACCCCCTCGACTCCTGCTGCTGTCGCCCGAGAGCCTCGGCCACCTCGCGGCCCTCCATCTTTGCGTGTGCCGGTGCAGACTCTGGCTGCTCAGGCCGGGTGCACAGGTCATACATCACTGTCTGTCAAAGTCAAACGGCGCAGGTGGGATCAGTGTGGCTGAACGAGGAGCCCGGCCAAGACCGAGCCATGGCAGGCTTTTCATCTGCTGGAGGAGAACTACGCGGAATCAGCTGTGGCAGGTCCGACTTCACAATGATGAAAGACGCCACCGTCCTCCCTATCTCCAGCGGTTCACCAGCAGGAGGGTTTTATTAACAGCTGTGGTGAAGTGTCTGGAACCGAGCAAAGGACTGTTCTTGCCATACCTGATAGTAACTCAACACCAAGACTTCAATTTGCAAACCCCTATAAAGTGGGGAGTTTAAGCTGAGAAAAACGGCACTGGGGAAGTTCCTTGCCTACAATCGGTTTGAGAAAGAGTCCGTGTGCCATATCCAAGACAAAACCAGTGACAGTTAAATCAGGAGTTGTAAAGAACCTCCTCCCTCTCGGCGCTGTGACGTTTTCCAAAATGAGGACAGTCAGCTCCAAAGGGATCTTACATATTTTCGGCCTCGGCTTCAATGAGTGTCATCCTCCTGCTAGTATTCTTCAGCATCGCATGGTTAGTATTCATCACAGTGTGGCATTGAGATCCAGAGTCCTGCTCGCTTCTCCATAGCCGCACCGCTCTGTCGTCTGACGGGGGGGGGGGGGGGGGTTGTCATAAGTATTTGTCCAGAAAAAGGAAAAAGACACACCAGTCCACTTAACCTACATAATGCTGGAACAGCACATGGAGGCCCCGACTGAGATAGCAAACAAGAAGAGACGTGCGACGGAGGAGATTAAAAAAACAAGAAGAGAAGGATCTAACTAACAGGTCTCCACTCCAGTCCCCGTTCTCTCAGGGAGGCTGAGATGTGGGTGGCGTGTCGACTCTCCAGCTGCGAGTCCATCCTCGTTGACGCCGCCGTGTCAAAAAGCATTTCATCCAGATGCAATACGGCTCGACGGGCTGTTTAATCCCTTCTTGGTTACAGCGGCGTATAGGTGAAGAAAGAGGACGGAGGGAAAAATGTGTGTGTGTGTGTGTGTGTGTGTGTGTGTAAGACGGCGAGTGTCGCTGAGAGGAGGGGGGTGGGGAGGACTGCTTCCGTCGTCCTATCACAAAAAGGCAGGCTTTGAGACGGGGCCCAATCATTACCGCGGCCCAGAGCTCGTTTCCATGGAGATGACGCTGGAATGATGTTGGCTCCCTCTTGAACAATCAATACACACACACACACACACACACCCCCTGTCCGGACTAATTCGGATGTTTTACTGCAGTTGTGCGCTAGAGAAACAAATAAGACGTCTACGAGCTAGTGAATGCTACTTTTGTGTTGGTGATTTAGCTTTGGACGCGGACATAAAAAACAACATGTAAAGCAGCACGTCTAATGCAAAAGCTGTAATTTAGCCGTACTGCCCACTTCTATAAAAGCTAACATCAAGTACTCCACCTAATTGTCTATCAAATGAGGAGAAGCAGCTTAATAAATCTCTTTAAGCTGCGGCCTGAACACGGGCTGGGGGGGGATTTGTTGACTGATTTGGGATGCCGTCCGGTTAATTCCTCACTCAGCCTCGACAAACTATGCACTGTTTAAAAAGCACAAAGAATGAAATAAAAATGAAAAAGTACTACTCCAACCTCAACATTAACAAGCTCAGCACAGAGCCGGTTGTAGCTGAAAGTAGAGGACATGCATGTACCCACGTTTAAAATGTGTGTTTCACTCCGTGGACTACTCACTGGATCACTTTCACGGGAGGTCACGTGAGGCCAGGCGTCGCTGTGGCAGAATGTATGCAGCTTTAATGACATTGACAAAGAAACTATTCTTTAATAACCCAATCCACTTAATAAGGTCAGTGTTTGGTGCAGATACTGGATCAGTGCATCCCTGGTGACAAGTTGGATAAAAAACATTCCATCAATCAACCATCAATCATCGACTTGGCCGGAAAATAGCCATGTCATGTTCACAAGAGTGGACTAGACAAGAGTGGACTTGCTGCTGTTGTGTTTGCAGCAATCGCTCGCTATCTGAAAATTCTTTTCGGATTATTATTGTTTACACACTAAGAATTGGACACAATATATAGTATATAAGGCAATAATTCGCTGTACTGTTTAAACTGGATACTATCTGGATCTTTTAACCCATTGCGGGCATGTCGCAAATATATGAACAGTTTATCAATTACATTTTCAGACTTTTTGCTGGAAATGTATGTGATGCACTTTCAAAATATTAAATCACATATAGTCTAAGATGTTATTTTTAATCGCCTACTGCTACTATACTTTGCATACACAGGCCTATTGTCATCTCCTGTACAGCGGGTCACAATGCACTTGAACACTTTGTGGCTGCTTTGATGCAGACACAAGGCTTGCTGAAGCGTTAGAGTGGGGCTGCTTTGATGAAAAGGCACCGGTCTACCTTGTGTTCATTTTAAAAAGGTCACTGTTGGAAAACCCACGGCCGGGTGCAGCAAAGTTAAAGATAGACGTTGCGCCTTCATTGAAAAAAAAAAAACATTTTTTTGCAAGTGGCAGTTTTCTGGTACACTACCAGTGCAGTCAACGCTACAATCGTCTACAATGGGCTCACTCTGAACATTAAAATGACTTCCTATCATCCCCATACTGATACGCACTCAGTAACACAAGGAGAAAGGGTTCATCTTCACAGACAGAAAAATGTAACAATGAGGAGCCTCAGCCAGACAGGTCCCGCCCAGGGAAATGAGCTTCTTACGCTGCATATTACAGCTTCAGTCTATTCCCTTATTAATTACAGTGTGCTCACAAGACCTCGGCTTTAGTAGCCCAAAGACTGGATCCAACCCTGCTGATGTGAACTCCACCCAACGCTACTTCTATTCTGGAACAACAACAAAAAAACCTCTGTTGCTTGTTTTCCTGTCAGCACCTCTGTTCCCAATCAGAGAACCACATTTTTTGGAGATTACAGGTTGTGGACTCAGACATACAGTAAATATGAAACAAAGGAAAGCTTCCAGTCAGCAAAACCCAACGCATGTCAAACAGCGTTACGCTCTGCACAGACATGAGCTGCAGCCGGATCCATCATGGCTCAGTGGTATTGACATCCTATCATCGCTCGGACATATTTTGACAACGTCTCCCCGAACTGCCCGTCATGAGACCGAAGAGACAACGAAGTCGTGATGCACCGAGTCTGACTGTGTTGTATCATATCAAACAACACAAATACGTGCTTTTCTTTGTTTTATCCAAACTGTCTTTGGATTTCTTGAGGATATCATTTCAGATTTAAGCAAATTAGCATTGTATCAAATAGTAGTTAAGAAAATCACCAACGACGATTATCTACATCAAATACACCAGAAACATGTCGGTAGAGCCTAAATACAAATGTAGGACTCTATCCTCACGGCTACATTTTCCTTTATAAGCCGCACTTTCAATTGTTTTATGATAAGAATATTTATCTTAGTGAATTGCATATGCACAATTTTTCATATACAAAACAGTATCCCATTTAACCTTAAATACCTGAAATTAACCTGTCATAAAACAAACAGGTTATTTTGAAAATCCCCAAAAGGTGGCAGACTGGAATGAAAAAAATTCACGTTTGTGTTGTAAACAAATATACTGAAGTGAACAACAGTTGACAGACGATCGACAAGCCATGAATAATTGAAAGAGGCGTGAGTCCATTCTTGTTTTGATGGGATTCCCATTTGAACACCATGAAAATATTGACTGTGATAACAAGGCCGATGCATGAGCAGGACCATGCAAGAAATATGAGGCGCGGCGAGCGGGCCCCGCTGTGTCGACGCGGTCGGGGGGGGGCTTTGATTAATTATTCAATTTCCTCTCTACAAAAACATGAATCCAAAATTGAAGAGACGGAAACACACGTGCTGTACGGCTCTTCTTCTCTGACAGCCAGCAGCGCTGACAACATCAACATGCATTTCACACCAGCCGTATTAAAAGGGTTTTTAACATAGTGGCAAATAAAAAAGGCTGCAACAGTAGCTAGTGTTTGGTTCTCTGTTTGGTTGTACTGGAGTGTAGTCAAAATAAACTCCTCATGGAAAGGCTACCAGTTGTTGTTTTATTCTCCATCTTACCGCTGCTGGCTACGCACCACTTGCTGCCTTCACAAATATTCTGGTGCCTAAAAAATAGACCACACGCTAACCTTGGTTCAAATAGGAGGGGATCATTTTACAGTTACACACCGCCTTCACTTGATTGAGGCTAACTAATATGCTCAGAAATAGGATTGTCCTCGATTTTGTCGACAAATCCATTAGCTGATTTAACTGACGGTAAAAGTGAGTTTCTCCATGAAGAATCATGCAAAAGCACCACTTTAAGCCTTGTGTTTACCAGAGCTGTGCTCATGTGTTTCATATGTATAAGTCATTCAGCACGAGAAAAGCCTAAAAACTGCCCTACAAGAACTACTTCTAAGAAGACAGAGTTGTTCATGATAACCTAAACGGTGCATACCTCAGTTGTTTTTGTGTATAATGTGGACTCAGTAGCCAAAACATCTGTTGGTACAGGTCAGGATTTCACCCATTAGTATTAAGATCTATTGATAAAAAGTGATCATTGATTTGCAATCAATATGTTTACATTGTGTGTTCTGTGATGCAGCCTTTGTGTGTGTGTGTGTGTACCACATCATTACTAATATGTTTTGATTTGATGATCATGCCGTTGGTGATGTTACCTTCCTGTAGGATTACTGTGATGATCAGCTAATATTTAGCTCGTCATAAGCCTAGTTTCGACATGTATACGTAATCTCATTCATTACGAATGCACAGGATTGATTACAAACAAAATACACTCAAAACTATTTCTTGGCCACAAATCCTTGCGGGGCTTCATAATCCGTGTGATCATGAAGCGAGGCCACGGAAGTGCACACGGCTGCAGTGTCTGAGTTACAAGTATAAGAGGAGAAGCTAAATACTTTACTCACTCGCTTTATTTACGAACCACGTGTGGAATTTGCAAATCTGAAATAGCTCACCTCCATGATCCTGTCTGTGCATTTGGAGGGCGATGACTCGTCTGACCCGGAGGACTCGCCGCAGTGGGGGGGCTGCTCGTCCCAGCCGGCATGGGGAGAGTCGTCAGGGTGACAGATTTTCAGAGAGCCGCTCCGACAGGTGTCCGCGACTGCAGCGGTGGTGCAGGGGTCAGCTGCACAGAGGGCCCTCCCTAAGGGCTGCTCTCTCCGAGCCGGTTTGGTTTTCTTCTTGGGTGAGCGGGAGGCAGTCTGGGGTCTGGCCTGTGGCAAGGCCCTGGAGTAGGTCAGGTGAGGCTTCGCCTGGCAGGAGTTACTGCCATCTTCCTGGGTTGGCTTTCTTGAGAGACTGTTAAAAATGCAGCTGGGGCGTCCTGCTCTCTGCCTCCCCTGCAGCGCTCTCCCATGGGCCTCGAGCAGGTGGCAGAGGAAGACGGCCTTTTCTAGCTCCGACTCCTGCCTGTGATGCAGTTTATAGACCGCCCGCTCGCCGTTTATCTTCTCGTACAGCGTCAGCAGCAAATGCTGCAGCTTTCGATAAGTTTCTCCGCAGAAAACCTCTTTCTCTGTAGACTTAATCTCCGCGCATCGTCCGCCGTCGTTAATGTTCACCTCCTCACCCAGCAGACGCCGGTGTCTGTTAGAGGGCCCATCCTTTTGGCTCCCTCGCCTGGCAGCCAGCTCCCTCACAGCCTTCCGCTGTTCCCTCTCCGCTTCTTCCCGCAGGTGCCGAAGCTCCACAGAGAGGTGTCCACGGGCCCACCGTGCTCGCTTCTTGTCTGATTCCCAGTCAGCCCGCAGCCTCTCTAGCTCCTGTCCGTAGTCCGTCTGGCCCCGGCATGGTTTCTTGGATGACAGTGCCAGAGGGTTATCCCGGTCTTCCCTCATTATGACACACTCACAGGACAACATGCAAGGAACGTTGAGACGTATGCATTTCTAAAGAGGAGGGGGGCCATGCAATGGAAATGAGAGGGAGGGTGACGGGTGGTTATCAGACATGCAGCATGCAGTTACCGCACCAGGTCACTGGAGAGATGAGACAGTGGAGGGTGTGAGAGAATAGGAGAAAATGATCAGGTATATTCAAATGTTTAAGATGATTCTAGTAGCAAGAAACGCAATGTTTCCAGCATGGTGAGAGCAGGCGATGATTTCAGTATTGGTCATCTTTGTTAGAGGGAGGATTCAGATGAAAACAAAAAGAGGGCAGCACTCTGAGGAGCTTTAGGAAAGCAAACACATTGAACACATTGAACACACCTATAAACCTGAGTTTTCTGAGAACCCCCTCTCTATGCAGAGATATGCGTCAGTAGCTGCGTGCTTTGTCTATAGGAAGTCCTACCAATACATAATTCGATACTTTGTATGTATACATACACGACAGAATGGTTCATTACAGATGCCTTCCCCAGCAAATTATGACTGTATTTATACCAGACATGTTTTTTTTTAATGTGTTCTATCTGAACCTGGCAGAACTAACAACCTTTAAACACATAACATAAAAACAAAACAGCACGAGATAAAACTAATCGAGATAAAGCAGCAGGAGCTACACTTAGTTGAGGATGCAACAAGTGAACCAAAGAAAAGCGCACACAGCACACAGCAGTGCACCGTTAGCTGTCATTACGGTAAGGTCAGCCAGTGTTTACCTGTAGCTCAACTTAGCGGCTCTTATTACAGAGGATGCAATTGGCTAATTAACTAGCATAATTTAGCAAGCTATTATATGTTCAAGTAGCGTTAGCTCATGCTAATTTATCTAACGCTATTAAGGTGGATAACGGTCTGTAGTATGTTGTATTTGGACCGAGTCCTGACCCCTAGCTGCTAACGTTACGTCCCGTTAGCCAGTGTTAGCTCACCGTTAAGTTTTCTAGTCACAACTTGTATCAAACTCACCTCTCAGCGGACTCAACTCTCATGTTTAACTTTTCATCAACGGAGTCATCCTCCTTCAGCCAAGTTACTTCTTGTGTCAGGCATTAAAATAGTCTGTCAACACCGAGACTGTTTACGTTAAAGGTCCGTAGAGCCATGCAAGAAGGGGTTTGTTTATCTGTGAGGCACCAGTGTCACACAGTCCGTGTCCAGCGTCATTGTGCTGGACCGTACAGGCACTATGCTGCCTTCACGTGCGTCTTCATGTGTCCCGTCTCACAATTTAATGACCGGCTGGACTTCCTTCCTGTCGCCTGTTTAAATGACTCGTTAGGAATACTAAATTAAATTTGTATGTACATTTTGACAGTCACGAGCGATGAATTTGCACTGTTACACGAGGAGAGTCATGCGTATCGGCTATGTAATCAAAGTTTTCAGTAATTTATCCCTCAGACGTTATCTACATTCGTACCATATCCTTCTCATCAAATATTTTCCTACTCCTAAACTTCATTGTTAATATAGAAAGTTCCGCCTTTAGTAGCTGTATTTACAGATTTGTTGAGTTGTTTGTGTGCGTTTTTTTTTGTTGTTTTTTTTTTTTAGAATAATTGCAATATTGCCAACAGTCCCTGAAGGCAACATAACCAGTGAGTCCAACCAACTTGTGTGAGATGGATGACCACTAGTGGCTACAGGCTGCTTGTGCAGAGTAGTAAAGGTTTGAACATTTGCATAGATCATGGTCTCCTGTTCAGAGGGATCGTTGTATTAGATGAATTTTGATTCATCATGAAAAACATTTTATTTTTGTTTAAAATGAAAAGTTCCCCCAATGCTCTTTAGGTACAAAACCACGAACGGATAAAGTTGGCAGAAAGAGGGCCACACAAAACCTGCATTATTTTTCTCATTTTGTCATAAAACATGTATGTAGAGTTTGAGAGTGATTAATTATGTGCTCCGGAGAACAATTCAATCTTATGAAACTATAGTATATGGAAATGATGTCCTCCGTGAGGAAGAATTTGAAATGTTATGACACTGGTATCTTCTGAAAGAAAATCCCAATCCTTGTAAAGTAAACCTTCTCCTGTCAGTTGTTCACATTCGCCATTCATCTCTTACCTATAATGCACAGTGTTTAAGGAAGCACTCATATTTGTGCCATGTGTGTGCGCATGTGTTTCATAGCACTGACAAAATGTCCCTTGTGCCACAGTTTGGACTACTGCCACCAGGAAGGAGGAGAGGAGCAGACGCAGAACACAGCAGGCTGGGCTGATGATGCTTTTACTTAATCAAAGCGCGCTGAGACTACTGGCAGACACACAGGATGTAAAAAAAAAAAAGAAAAAATCTTAAGTAGTAAGACAGGAAACAGGATTAAGGAATGGTTGAACATGATGACAGTAAAGATATTCATTCAACAAGAGAGGAAACAAGCACAGGGTTTAAAAACACAGAGAAAAGCTAATAAAGAAACAAGGAACAGGTGTGTAAGTGGCTAATGAGGAGGCAGGGAAGGAAGGATCTCTCAAGAGAGGTGACAAGTGGACAGCAAAGGATGGCAGCATGGTCCACCGCAAGCAAGGACTGGGGAGGGAGAAAAATGTTTCTTTCTACTTCTAGTACATACTGCAGCTTCCCTCACAAAGTACACACTCTTGCATACAGTATGCATTCAATTGGGACACACTACTTCGTCATAACATTGCACATTGAACTTTGACCCTCTTGCTCATATAGATGCTACACAGAGAAATGTAGCTGCGTTCCAAATCACATACTTTTTCTTTTTTGCTTTTAGTACATACTGCAGCTGTCATTACAAACTTACTGTCCTTTAGTATGTCCTAATACATAGTATGTCA